TCGAAGAAAAGCTGTCAACATCACCAGAGAACTCGGATCAGAACAACAGAACAATAAAATAACAACAGAAATAATTAGTTTCGGAAAGGAATTCTGGAAGGAGAACGGTTGAAATACTCTTAATACCTATAATGGTCAGGCTTGTAAGGACCGTCAATAGGCACACCAAGGTATGCGGATTGTTCTTCGGTAAGCTTCGTAAGCTTCACACCGAGCTGATCCAGATGCAATCGTGCGACCTCCTCGTCGAGTTTCTTAGGTAGCACGTACAGACCAACTTTGTACTCTTCGGGGGTACCGTATTTGGTCCAGAGTTCAATCTGGGCCAGAACTTGGTTGGTGAAAGAGTTCGACATGACAAACGATGGGTGACCAGTAGCACAGCCCAAGTTTACAAGACGACCCTCGGCAAGCAGGATAATGTGGCGACCGTTCTTCATGAGGTAGCGATCGACCTGAGGCTTGACAACTTCCTTGCTGACAGCATTCTCATTCAGCCATTTCACATCGATCTCGCAATCGAAGTGTCCAACGTTGCACACAATGGCGTCATTAGGTAGCTGTTCCATATGTCGGCCAAGAACGATGTCCTTGCAGCCGGTTGTAGTGACAACGATATTAGCCCTAGGAGCGGCCCCGTTCAAGGTGGTCACTTCGTAACCCTCCATAGCGGCTTGAAGAGCATTGATGGGATCGATTTCGGTCACGATAACGCGCGAACCGAACGCCTTCAACGACGCAGCTGATCCCTTTCCGACATCACCGTATCCGCAAACAGCGGACACCTTTCCGCAGGCATGACATCAGTGGCGCGCTTGATACCATCAGGCAGTGACTCGCGGATTCCGTAGAGGTTATCGAACTTGGATTTTGTGACGGAGTCGTTGACATTGATTGCTGGGACCTTCAGTTCTCCCTTCTCGAGCATCTTGGCGAGGTTATGAACTCCAGTCGTAGTCTCTTCGGACAATCCACGAATACCTTCAAGGTACTGTGGGTACTTCTAGGTGAACCATCCTTGAAGACGAGAGTCTGCTCAATGCACCACTCGTATTCTTCGTCGGTCTCGCCTTTCCAGACGTACACTGGAACACCAGTAGCAGCAATAGCGGCAGCAGCATGGTCTTGGGTAGAGAAGATGTTGCATGTTCGACATTGCACCTGCCCACACCAAGCTCGATAAGAGTCTCATAGAACTGCGTCTGGATGGTCAGTGGGTTGTAAGGCATCCCAGCAATACGCCGCCTCGGCATAGTCCAGGCATTTCATTCTCAGCGATTGATGACTCCTTACCGACCAAAACATCGGCTAGCGAGAGTATCAGCGACCTGAAAACGGCTGAGGCAACGGTACGCCACTCGTTTTTGTGATATTCACAAGGACGGGGGGGGGGCCGTCATTTGACCGGGCGGAGGGGGGCGTATCTTGAATCAGAAAAATTTTTTTGTTGATAGTCGTTTTCTGTTTTCAACCGAACGTGTTAAGGGGGGGTCGGTAAACTTGGTCAATTTTTTTTTTTTTTTATTTTTTTTTTTTTTTGTAATTTTTGGGTGGGGGTCGTACTTGGGTCAGTCAGCGAACGCACTACTTATTTTAGAGAAAATGATAGTTTATTCTGACCGACGCTCCCCCACCCCACCGCTCCCCGCTGCGCGGATGGCTGCGGGTTCGATGAAGTTCGATGAGACAGGACAGAAGGCTGGGAGGCGAGCGGAGGGGCGTACCCCACCCCCAACTCCCAAAAGGGGTCATATTTTAGGTATGGAATCAGGGGGGTGTAATTTTAGAAAAATGATCACAAGCGGCGATGGCGTGCGCTGCTTGTGGGAAGCGCCATGTGTGTCGGATTTTTGTTACCTCAACCTTGGGTAAGCTTAAATGAACGCACAAAGAAAATAAATTTCCATCAAACAATAGCAAAAAGCAATAAAATGCCATGAAACTGAACTAACTGAGTTATAAGAGTAAGTGAAACCCAGGTTACCCAAAAATGAAATGGGACAGTAATCAAAGCTTCAGAGTTAAGCAACTAATTGAATCAAATCTTTCAAGTAATAATGATGACCTTAATCGACCATAACGCATAGATGATGAAACGACGTTAAAAGTGACAACTGAGGAGTGAATGAGTCAATCACAGGGTTTTTTTATATGAACATCCCAAACGCGCCGCAGCTGTGGATTCCATCCTCGTACTTTTCCATACAAAGAAGCCATCTGCAGCCACGCGCCGAGTCCTGCTGTGAAGTGCTAAACCCCAAAGCTGAAAATAAGCCAGATAAAAATTATTTATTAAGTAAACGATTAACAGTGGCGGTTACTGAAAAGAAGACTAGATAAAAATACAAAGGTAAAGATTACAGTGCATCAGTAATTAGTAAAAGACGTGAAAATCGCGGTTATCCGCGATAATTTCCATGATCTCCGGAATTGACTGGAAAATTGGCTGCTAGCGCAGGAAATAGCAACGAGGAGTGGCTGATGGAAGGATTGCTGATGGATTGCTTTACAAGTGCTTCCACGGGAGTGCTGAGTTTGGGAAATCGCGGTGCCCGGAGGCATAAGGGCGATAACTCCTACAGTGTTTGCGCGGTTTTCTTCGGATTCGTGGTTTTCTTTGAAAGCCAAAGCAGCAGGCCATCGCTATGACAAAAGCTCCTTCCCAGTACTACCTTCTATCCCTTCTATCTGTCGTTAGAGAACGGCAAGCAGTAACTACAACTCTTACATTACGGGAGCCCCCTCCACATTCTCTAGCACCATTAGCTCAGTTGAATTTCCTGCCACATTGCCTTTATCCTCATGGTTTCCAGGACCGCAAAAGAATGTCCAAAGGTTGCCCGATTACCGTGGGAAATCAGATCTGATCACGTGCATATCGATAGGGAGTTCCTACTTGGAGAAGGCACCATCTCGAACGTATACCTCGGTGAGAATCACTACTTTTGTTGGAATTCACTTTTTTACGCTTCGAGGAATTGGAGATCTGAAGTGTTCCTGCGCACCCTTTCAGTTTTATACGATCCCACCTTTCTGCCCTGTTACCAAGAATTATTCGTTTTGAGGTTTACCAAGATTTATTCGTTTTGAGGTAAGTTGAAAGGAAAGGCGCCAATTCTGCAATGGATCGGTCGCATAGAAATGAAGCAGTATCAGGATTGTCCAGTAGCAGTGCGGGTAAGTAACAGTTGCCAGATCTCTCTCTTCTAGCATCCTAGTCGACCTAATTCGGACCCTGAAATATATTAAAAGTACTACTTCTCAACATTTACTTTTCAGGTGCCACGACACTTCGATGAACCGGAGGAGGACCAACTGTTTCGAGAGATTTCTTCCATGAGAAGGCTACGTCATCATGACCACATTGCTCTGTTTCTCGGTAAGCTTGCTCATTTACGGTTTTGGGTAGTATTCAGTTTTGGATCTAACTCGTCACGTTCTTCTTGAAGGATGTAGAAGACCAGTGGTGTTTGTAGGGTATAACTCAACCCATTTGCAGTTGTTGCTTTAAAGACAGTTCCCGCGATGAAGTGTCATGGATAGTTGCTGTTCAGTTATGAAACAGTAGCTGATAAGTAATTCCCCAAAGAAGAAAAAAAGCAAGAAGAGTCCTCAAGAACACCATGAACAAAATCGCTGCCTGACAGTACACCGCCCTGCGTTCTGTGCAAACCCTGGTTCAGTAAGGCTGCGTTTATACTTTGCGGCAGCGTAGCGTAGCGTAGCGCAGCGTAGCGTAGCGCTTCCAGCGTACGCCAGCGG